TTTAAGGGAATCTTCTGGTCCTCCTTGCTCAGCACGTGGTGATTATGGAGCACAAGGACTGTGTTTCTGGGAGACAAGGGACCTGGAAGCCGTGTTTGGTAGAGCCCCACGCACTCRTGCTGCTCAGCCACAGATCTGTGCTAGAGAAAGGCAAAGCAAAGCCCCAAGGTGCTGAAAGGAATTGGCCGAGTCCTCAGCATCCATTTCTTCTTCCCCCAATTACTGCTACTTTCCCCCAACACTGTTTGCTAATGCAGATCTAGCTAGATCTTGTGACTTGACAAGGGATCAAATTCTGGATATGTCAGTCAATGCAAATACTGATTTCAATTTATTTTTTAACAAAGGAAAAGGTCCTGAAATACAGTGTTTTCTAATACTCACACTTTCCCACATAGAATCTCATTTAGAATTTTGTTTTTTTCCATGATGTAGAGAAAGGAAAAGAATAAGCAAGTAGGGGAGAAGTGTTACTTTTTTTTTTTTTTCAAATCGGAGCACAACAGTAGTTCCAATTTTAACTAATGAATTTTCAAGCACAGTGATGAAATTCAGCATCATCACCAAGGCTGCTATTTATGTTCTCTCTTCAAAACTTTTTTTCCTGGTGACTGTACTAGAGGATAGAAATCTTTTCAGTATACCTTGTCTTGAGTATTGTCCCTCACTTTTCCACAGGATTCGACTGGTATATCTTAATTACAGACAACCAATAGATCTAATTTTTGGAGGTTGCTAAGCAGTAATAATTTAGACTTGTGGAAGATTATCACTTTCCAGAAAGAGCACATATGGTTTGGTTTTAGCTTTAAAAAAAAAAAAAATCCCAGAGCTATCTAGTTACATGTAGGGCAGTTTCCTATTGTTGAGTCTGTATTTATTAAGCAAAAAGAAGCTAGGATGCTTTTGTGATTTTTTTCAATTTAACTTGGCAAATGTTGTGCAGCGTGCAACGTGTGTGCTGCTGGTGCAGTCAGATTACTGGAGAGGGAGTGATGGGCAGCGCTGCAGATGCCGAGTGCTGGTTGCAGTGTTTCAACATGATTGCAGACGTGTTCGGAGGGGAGGAGTTACTGTGGGCACAAGCTGAAGCAAGACACCTCAGAAATCAAAGTTCAAGGTGAGATCCGTATAAGATGGTAGCAGATTTAAGAAATTGGGATTTTTTTTGCATGTTTTATGTTGGATTTTTTGTCTCTCTCTCTCTTTTTTTTTTCTTTTCCAGTGCAGAAAACAATGCTGGGTAAAAATCTGGAAGTCAGAGCTTCATACTGCATGAGTCACAGTCTGATTCTTGCATTTCTGTCCTGCATTTCTCCCTGTGCTGTGGGAGAAGACTAGGAAAGGGAAGAAGGTGGTAGAATTTCCTCCATAAAAAAGGAAGGGGGGGAAAAAAAAAAAAAAAAAAAAAAAAAGGCTAGCAATGTGGAAGGATGATGCTGGCAATATGTGGTATATTAAGGAAAGTAACCTTTAATCGACCTTCTTAATAGCAGGGAAGCTCAGGTAGTGCTCAGTGAGGTTTCAGCTGTGTTTAGTGGTTCCTGCATGTCCTCATTAACCTACCTGGTAGAGCACGGCATGTGACCACTCCTTGGACCGCTGCAATGGGAGGTATGATGAGCTGTTAGCTGCTCTGTGAGCTTTCCTTCACCACAAGAATGAGGGGAGAAGCAGTGCCTGTGGAATTGCTTATCCACGCAGGTATACAAATTGGAAAGGAAGCTGCCTCTTCTCTTCCTTCTTTTCCCCCTGACCCTGGAGGAAATGCCTTGCATGAGGTTTATAGGGTGGTTTTCCAAGCAGAGTGGGGAGCAGGACAGCATTTTCAAATCAAAAAGCGTTTCCTTATCCTTTGAATTTTGTTCCTGTCTCTGTTTATGGTTCCAGCCATGAAGTCTGTAAGAAATAAAAAGTGTCTTTATGGAAAGCCATTAGCTCATTTGCACAACTGCTCTGTTGAGCCATCTAGTTGATTAATACTAGATGTATTGCTGAGAAAGACTTCTCTTTTGCTCCTGTGCTGATAGGACAATGGCATTTGGGTTTCCTACATGTTGTGGTACTTCATGTGAAAAATAACCATTAATTGCTATGGTGTTTGTAGTCAGTGTATTACAGTYGGGTCTGTGATGCTGTATTTTTGCAGGAGAAATGGTTGTGGAATAGATGCAACTTAACATTATTTCCTCTGACTGCAAACGACAGAAACTGAGAGTAGCTAGACAAATACTTAAGTGAATGAAGGGTTGTCTACTCTTACCACTCACCTCGTATACAACTTAATAGTGGCTTTAAGTCAGTTCCCTGGTTTMTTTCAAATAACATTTCTGAATTAACATAGTGTATTATGGGGAAGGGAATGGGTTGGCTTGTAATGCGTGGTCACGACTGCAGCAGTGATTTTGGAAGTGGAAGCAGTGTTTTTGSAAGTGGTGTTGCATGTTAGCGTGTTCTTCCTCTGTGTGTTCTCAGCCACCACAGAGCATCCTGGTCTAGTGTAGCAAAAGCCTCTGATAGTTCATCTGTTCTTTATGTGGGATGAAGTGTGAAAACAATGCTGTTGATAGAACAGGAGCAATCATTCTCTGATAAATAGTGTATTATTGTATCAAGGGATGTGAATGTGCTAAAACACTGGTGTATGTGCTAAAAGATTAGTGTTCACTTGTATATGAGTGAGTCTAATGTAAAGAAGGCCATGAACCTGCTACAAATCCAGCTTAAGTTTGAATTCAAGCTGTAAATTCATTCTTTCAAGATATACATATGATCATCTCCTGGTGAACTTTAAACATTTTCTAAATGCTCATTTGAAAATTTCAGACAACAACCCTTTAAGTTGTTGATGTTCATGTAATTAATAAGCCTGAGGCAGTTGTCTAGCAAACTGTTTTGGYCAGAACAGAAAAATCAGTCTCTTGGGCAAAACAGATTGTGTGAAAGAGTTGAAACGTTCAGGCTGTGAATGGGCTTGAAGAAAGAGATGCCTAATAGCTCTTATTCCTTGTTGCTATAACAGCATGGCCTTGCAGTCATTTTATTCACATGCCATCATAGAAATGATTACAGAACAGGGACAGATAAATAGTGATGTGAAGGAGGAATTTTTCTGATCTGACACCTTTTCTTGTAAAATGGAATACAAGACAATCAGATATTTAAAACGTACAAAATTAAATATTTTGTAGCTTCCCTGCTTGATGGTTTTTAAGAAAAAAAATGGGAAAGGATCTAGATGAGTAAACTCGTTTGAGAAAGCACTACTTGCTGTGATAACAAATCTAGTCACGATAGACAGGGTTTTAGATASAACTCACTGAAAATAGTATAATGGTGCCCTTTAAGCCAGGAGAGCTTAGATGAAACTTAGAATATAAAGCAGAATAGTCTTGCAGATTTTAACAGATCCATATTGGCTTGCAGCTTCTGAGGATTTGTCTAACAATATTTATAAGGTYTGCAGTATGGAAACAAATACATTTTGCAAGCAGAGAGAAAAGGCATGTATGCAAGGCTGGCTTTAATCACAGCTGGAACAGAGTTTGACCCATATATGAATGTTTATTTAAAGCACACTAATAAAACTATTAAATAGCTAATTTTAATTGCAAAGACTTGTGTTAACAGAAGAATATATCTCTGAATCCTTTGAAGATCTCAGGCTCTATTCTTTACCAACCTTTACTMTTCAAACCAGTGAGATTTATCCCTGGGMCCACTTTCTACTCGCTGGTTTAAAATGTCTTTATGTTTGAGATTTCTTGACTCCAAGCCATCTGCATAGTATAGACTTGACAGTCCCTGAATTTCTGTGTGCTGCCTGGTAGTCCCCAAAGCCCACGGTCCTGAATGAGCATCTTGGTGATACACTGGCAGCCTCAGTTTCTCCTCTGTTCACCACGTGCCACCGAGAGCCTGTGTGACCCCAGACCCCTGCAAGTCCAGGGCAAACCATTGCACGGGGGGGCATCCTATGCACCATCTCTGGAGGGGAGGTACGTTGTGGGAAGAAACAAGGCTACTCTATGACTATTCTTACAGGCAGTCCACAACTGTTTGATACAACTGCTGTAGGAAGTCATATATAGAACAGGACAGACCTGTCTCTTGAGCTGGAAAACTGTTTTAGCTGGTCCTGGGAGTTGGCTCTGTTTATGGGTTAGCAGCTAGACAGTAGCATCATTTACATGCACAAAGCTTGCGCGTCAGATACTGAGGATGCAGGACAGACACTCTGTCTTGGCTCGTACACGTCCATCTTAGGGTAGACAGCCAGATATTCGGCTTTTTTTAAATGTATGCAATGTCTTCAAACATAAGATCTTAGTGTGCATTTTACCTGTTTTCATTTTCAGCACCTTATTTGTTTGCTACTACACTTATTTTATGCATCAACAATTGTTTGACTTTTTCTCTAGGTGATAAAGGAACTTTTCCCTTTTTTTATTTTTAAGGTAAGTGGGTGCTCTTATCTCAGTTACTTTTCGATTTTTTTTATATCCTACTATTTCCAAAGTTAGGCTTACTAGCTTCCTGTACTTATCAGGACTTTTCGCTTTTTAAAGAAAGCTTAAATTTTGTGTCTGCTCCCTAGGTTAGAATCTATGTTACAGATATATGCATCTTTAACAAGGAGAAAGGAGGCAAAACATCTTAGTTATCCTTAATCTTTTTTTCTAGCAATGTCAAACTTCTTGCCAGCCCAGAGGGATTTATCTAGTGGGCCTTTTTCCAGCTACTAAATACCATTGCGTCTGCAGCCTTCCTTCTCCCTTCAAGCCATGTTTCCAGAGATGAGCACCGCAGGATCCCTGGATGCTAGCCTAGATAAGGTTGCCCTGCCACCACACCACGTTCAGTTCTCAAATGAGCAACTATAAGCTCCTAGGAAGCTTTACACAGCTCAATTTTTACATGTGCCTTTACATTTAGTTAATAAAAGCAGCCTCCATTTGCTTATTTAGTCGGAGTTCTTTGTTTATATTCTTTCTTCAAAGATGCTCTGCTGTTCCTGACCTGCAAGCCCTGGAATTAAATCCACTTGGACCTCCCACGGACCGTTTCAAGCTAGTAGGACTTACATTAGCAGAGAGAGCAGAATACAGTCCCCAGTACCACCCTCGGCTCCTTCTGGCTGTGTGCAAAGGCGCTGCCATCCTTGCGGTTGTGAATCATATCTGCCGGCAGATCACATGTGCCCCATCTCCATGGCGACTTGGGCACTTAAGGTAGAAAGATGAGCGGGTAAGTCAAGGTTACTCTCTCCTCTTCTTTTTCGCTGAGTACTATGTATTTTCATGGGTTCTGTTTTGACCTGGACTGTGCTTGTGTGAGGCGAAATGTTTGACACTGTTAATTCTCCAAATTCATTTTAAGCATCTCTCAGATCAGCAGAGCCCTGCATGGTGCAGGGAGTGTGGGCTCAGCGCAGGGTCGTATTTGGACCCTGTATTTGGACTCATTGAAAAAGCATCATCCCTTATAGGGGAGGCTGATGCTAAACAAATGGAATATAATGAGAAATCCAAAGCAGCTTTTTCCTGCATTGAGCAGTGGAAATGTTGACTGTGGGCCAACAGTAAAGAAATACAGGTAATTAGCTCCTATTTCTTTAGTGGGTAGCCTGAAGGAATGGAAATGTAAATATTGAATTAGAAAGACTGAAAAGACTGAATTTCTATAGTCTCAGAATACATACATTATAAGGCAGATTTTTAGGTCTAGTGTCTTCTATTAGCTAGTGGGTACATTGAAGTTTTGCCCCTTCATTTTCACAAAACACCTTTCCTCTTTCAGTTGGTGCAAATGACTTGAAATGCATAATGTTTTTCTTGTTTGCTAGCATCATCTCCCCCTGTTGTCCATCGACACTAAATGCAGTGTTCTGTAACATGAGAAAGGCAATACATTTCCTCCAGTTCTTTTGTAAACTGATATGAAGTAGACAGACACCTTCTGAAGTTTTGTGCATGCTGTGCTCTTTTTTTTCTTTGCTGCAACAAGAAAAGCTGYTTTTTTTTTTCTCTCTGTTTTTTAACCTGGCTTCCTTTGAAGAAGTAACTCAGGAAGCTTCATGGCCTCTCAAGGTAAGTGCATCTATAGCCTGTATTTTTAGATCATGTTTACAGAAAACTGCAGTCTTGTATATTTCCAGCAATCAGCAGTCTGAGTTTTAGGCTAAAACCACAGCAGCTAAAACACAGTTGTTTTGACGCCTTTTATTTTTCCATCCGAAGGAGACTAAAATCTATAATAATGTTATTTGAACAAAATGCATTGCAAAGTGCTAGCATCTATGTTCAAACAGAAAATCCATTTGTATTCTTGTTCTTAAATTTGTCAGCCTAGAATGTATGGGGAGGGCAGGTACTGATCCAAGGTTATCATCAGGATTGCACAGTGTTGATACCTGCTTGGAGAATACCATTTCAGGGAATGCTTTTCACTTTAAATACTGGTCGGAACCCTGATCATCCGTGTTATCAGATAGAAATCTCTGAAGAATAATGGAATTAAATCAGATTAGCCCATTTTGGATTTGTTCTATTCATATATTCTCTTTAACTGCAGTCAGCTGGGTTGTTAGGACTAAATGTAAACATCGTAGTATGCTAATCTCMCAAGTTTGCTAAACTCATTTTTCCATCTTGTTAAATACTAAAATGAAGGAGAAAACCCCAAACCTGTCTTGTCTTAACATGAATGCAACTCCACAGAGATCATAGTGCTCCAAATGTTGGTCCGTGGAGTTTCAGTAGTGTCTTATTTCTTCTTGCCAAATGTTTTGTACCTCTTCCCCCTGTCGAACACCTACGACATTCTGTCTTCACAGCACGGGAAGTTAGGCAGCAATAGTAAGGAGGTGTTAGAGCACTGTTGTGTTCTTGGAATATGTGTTTTTTTTTCCCTTGGGAGGGAGGCTTTGCATACTTTGCAGCCACTGTGAAGGAGACCTGGTTATGTATATTGTTGATGTACAGAAGTTAGCAGCAGCTAAATCTTGTGCAATGCAGAGTTTTCATAATGAAGGAATGTAGGCTAAAATTCTTCTGTCAGGARCTAGTAGCTCTACAACTATATGGAGTGCTCACTGTATCATACAGTAGCTTTTAAATGTTTCCATACAGTAAAGGAAACAGGAAGCATCCACAGAAATAGACAAACCCTCTGCATAGCTTAGATTTTCATCAATATTTAATGTATTTACTGTTTGATTTTTGTATAGCTTAAATTTGACAGGTASAACTGCAATTTGTTTCTTTTTCTCTTTATCATTATTCAAGAGTAATGCTGCATTTGGCCAATGGAACTTACAGCATTTCGTGTAACAAGAGTTACAGCAGTAACAGGACTCTGCGAGGTAAAATGATGCAGAAGAACGTATAAAATATTTATTAGCCAGTTATGCATTTTTAAAAGCCAGCTACAAATTCAAAGGGGTTACTTCTTCCTGTGGTCTCAGACTTTGAAAGAAATCAGTGGCTGCAAAGATAAATTAAGATCAAAATATGATTAAACGATGAATCAGCCACAGCAAGTTCACATAATGCTAGAGGATCTCATTTAAACCTTCCACGACAGCAAGAGAATCTCAGTTTTACTGTCAAAATTCCTTCTGGATGTTCAATCTCATCATGCCGAAGTATTTTCACACAAGAGACAATAAATAGATGAATAATCTGTTTGGGGACTGCTTTACTTATCTAAGCGCAGGGGCTCAGCTTAATAGCAGGACTTGTTACATAACTGCAGAGGGCTTCAACTTGCTCTTTCTTGTTCCTCTGTGGCTAGTGCACTACATGTAGTGGAAAGATGTTAGTATGAGTTTGAGAATCAAACGGTTAAGATAATTATTCCTGTGCATGTATATGGATGTAGGCACATAAATGCCTATTCATTTCTGGTTTGTTTTATTCTTTCCGTAGAATCTCAAGGACAAACAAACCCAATTTTTAAGGATTATCTCCCTGGTTCTTCTGATCTACCTGAACAGAATAAGCATGTTGAGCCAACAAGTGCTTGGAAGCAAACATCRCACTCATACAACTTGCCACCTGGTCTGGAGTACCTGAGCCAGGTCCTGAACCTTTATAAATGCTAGAACTGTTTTGGGGAGGGGAGATTTGGGGTTTATTTTTCTTCAGGTGGTGTAGGTGGATGGAGAGAGTAGTTTTAAGGTATGTCACCTCCTAATAACCCCCACAATGGGGTACGGGAAGGTCTTGGGCAAATTGCTTGTACCTGCAATGTGAATGCTGCCTAGATTAGAGGTAAGGCCCTTGGAGGCAAACTTGCCCATAAAGGAAGGGAAAGGGAATGGAAATAAAGAAGCCTTCTCAGCTCTTCTACTAAATACACAGCTGTTCATCAGAGGTTTCCTTTGGGAAACCTTTCAGTTCCTAGAGCACAGATTGCCAGTCAGCCTTGGCAACAGACTGCAATTCCAAAAGCTTCAGCAGCTCTATCCCATAACAGGCTCTGGTCTCTCAGCAATTTTTTTTCCCCTTGAAGAGGGTACTGCTGCTACTTTGAAAGCAACTCTTAGTTTTATTTCCCCTATGGCTGTTATGTCACTCTTGCATACCCGATAATAACTTCCTACACTCTGGTTTGGACAAGGTGCAGTCAGGCTATTGTCATTCTGATCTGTCAAGTTTTTGTGTTTGCATGTGATGGGGAAAAAAATGCTTATTTCAATTAACATTTGTATTTTGCGTATAGACTTTAGCAGTTTTTATTTTTTAACAGAATCCAGAATTTGATCTTTGCAACTGAAGATATTTAACTAATGAAACTGGGAGACCATCCAGGAACTATCTTCCATGTAGAGTTATGATGTTCATTACATTGTGCCTATGCCTGAAATGATATGTCTTGTCAATTATCTGAGCATTTGCTCATGGACTGTGGGAGCTACATTTTTCAGTCTAAAAGTGATTTCAATAGTGAATACCAGCAGGTTACATATTCAGTTTTTCATATAGGCATAAAATACCTCGTATTTATCCATACAGTGTGGGAAAGCAAATTCTATTACTCCATTTTATTGAATGGCAAATTCTATTACTCCATTTTATGGCATAAAGGCAAAAGAACAAATCATTATGAAAAYTACAGCTGGAACTTAATTCATGCTTGTTCTTAACATAATAATTATGCTGTCTGTGCAATAGTCCTCGGTCTCCCCCAACCATGCTCTCCTTAGCCTCAGTTTACTCTGCAGTCTGAGAAGCATGGAGAGCATATTTGCAGCTGTAACCCTAGCCTCCTGGCTAGGGACTTTGTCAGTGAACAATTAATTGCAAGTTTTCTATTAAGGATTTCATTGTTTGTTCAGAGGCATTTAACCAAATATGATACTCCCAAGCAAAACTCATAGATCTCAATGCTTGAGAGCGTTTGGGGAGTGCTAAGGAAACTTCGTCTCTTTCTATGTTTTCTCCTTTTCTGCTTTGCTATTATTTCTCTGGTGTAGTGCTGCTTCCTGCTTGCTTATATTTAGTTATAGAGGCGTCTTCTCCCCTTGGCATTTTACATATATGCACTGCCAGAAACTAATAGACCAAAAATCACTCAAAGCTTTTGACAACTCATGCTCATTTCTATTTTCTCTTATGGGGAGAAAAAATCTACATTGGACAAATCAATATTAAAATAGTCATAGCAGTTTTAACCTGCCATTGTGATGTTTGCTTGTTTTGGTTTCAGAGCTCTACACTAGCTTCCCATGAGCTCCAAGAATTATTGAGCCTTGTGAAATTCAAACTACAAATAGTAGAGATCCTTGGGAGAACATTTTCAACTTTTTTCTTTACAGTACTTGCATGCACTTTTCAAACAAAAATGAAAGGGCTAAAGAAGTTCTTTCTACTAGTTTTTCTTTGTGGCCTGGACTAGCTGCCAGGGAGGACTAGAACCRACAAATGACTGCAACAGTTTGACTACGTACTGGGCACGAGTTATCAATTGTAAAATATACGAGCGCTTGTGAGTTGTGACAGTCATTGTGTGGTCATTGTGTGTTTTCTGTTTTCAGCTGTGACTAGTGGCAAAATCTGGTGCCAAATATTTGATGCCTATCAGGAATTTAAGGAAAAGAAACCAGCAACCTAAATTGGCGCACAAACTGCACAATAAAAAAGTCACATAAAACTGAAAGCTAGATTGAAATTAAGTTTTGCTGCTTTTATAATATTAATGACTGCTTTCTAGGACAGAAAAAGGCTTGAAAGACGATAATTGCAGAGAASCTGGTGATCATGGCCAACGATTTTCCCCCTGCATTTGTAATCAACTCACAGACTGGGATGGTTTCAGTAAGCTGAGGGGTTCTCYAGGGAACTATTGTTTGGCTCATTTTGGTGCCCTGTAGTGACTACTGATTTGCTGGCTGCAAGCTCAGTGCAGAATCTTGGGGCAATGGAAAAATAGAGCTTTACATCAAATGTGTTTATCTTATGGCTGTGCAGCCCCTTGGTCCTGACCCTTACCTATTTCTGCATGGCATGTTGGAGAGGCAACTGTGATAGATTTTTGAACTTGATCCCAAACTTGCATCGTTCTTGCACTGTCTTCATGCTCAGTACATACCCTTAGCTTTGAGGTTTGGCAAGTAGGGACTGTGCTCAGCCTTTGTCAAAACATGTAGGGAGGAAGGGGAAAGAAAGCTGTGTCCTCAGGTTCATTTCTTCYATTGTGGTTGGCCTCCTGATTCCCCCAGTGAAGATCATCATCTTTATGTGCAGAAGTAAATTGCATGACCATACCACCTAAGGTCACATGCTTCAGCCRTCACTTCAGGGAGATGTCCGAATTGTGGCCTCAGATCTCTCCGGGTGACCGAGTTTGTGCACCTCTGTAAAGAAAGAAGTCTGTTTGCAAATGAGAGAGCAGCATAATGGGCAAGTGATCACTGTGACAACCCCAGATCTTTTCAACAACCATCATCTTTATTTTTTYCCTTTGCTTTTTATTGAACAGCTGGACCAGATTATTATTCATCAGCAAGTGGAGCTTCTTGAAGGTACAGTGCGACTCATTACTCTTTACCTGTGCTGACTCAGTGGTAACTCAAGCAACTTTAAGTCTTKTCTTTGACTCACTGAAGTTATTGCAACTGTACTTGCTCACCTTGCATGAGGCTATGATGTGTTTTTGCAATAGGGAAAGATCATTTAGTTTATGTCTGTTCTGGAGTGTATCAGCAAGGAGGGAAGCAGCTACTCCCCCTCTAAAACCGTTCCTACAAGCAACTGCACCTCAAAGCTATTAAAATTTAATTTTTTTCCTAAGTTGGGAAAATGGTGATTGTTTTGAACAGTAAATAAATGCTGTGATGTAAGACAGAGAAACAAAATGAATAACGAAATGTTAGACGATATAGAGCACAGTAAATTTTACTTTTGTGCTTCTTCAAAATTTGTAAGTATTGAGAAAATTCTATGAGCAAAAAATCTGTCATGTAAAATGTTTTAGGCCTGATTTTTGGTCACCTCTCTGAGGCAGAGCTTTGCCACTGAAGTGGAATAGCTTCATGTCATTACTTTTCAGAGTATGTAAAAATAAAAAGTACAGTCCAAAACTCATGATATGAATTCTGTCTTGTAGCTTGAACTTCAGGATGCAGCAAACCAAAATCTTTGAACTAAGCCTTCCTAAAAAAAAAAAAATACAAATCTGAAATTGGATGTGATTCATTATTTCATTATTATGGTRTATTTTTTGATGTCATCATTTCAAAATATTTTTAAACACTGATTTCCATAGATATCTTTACAGTATATGTTACAGAAAAGGTGATGCTTATAAGCCAAATTTGGCCATAAGCCAAAGCTGAATTTGATAAGTCTTAGTATGGCTAATACTCTGCTAAGGTAATAGGCTACTACTTTTGCTTTAATAGCTTTACTTGGCACAGAGACCTGCAGCAAATATGAAATAAAAAACCATTTAGGACAAAGAGTTTACTTTGCAGTGGAAGAAAATATTTGCTTTGATCGTAACTTCTGCTCACCTATAAGATCTTTCACCATACGGATCGCCGATAACACAGGCCGAGAAGTGATTACTGTGAATAGACCCTTGAGATGCAACAGCTGCTGGTTCCCATGCTTCCTGCAAGAGGTGAGCAAATCCTGATTGCCTTAGGTCCAGCATTAATGTGTGCAGCACTAATGAAGCCTCATATGACCTCTGTCAGGAGGGAGTTTTCATGCCCATTTGCCGGGCTGGTGAGCCCTGTGTGTGGGAGGGTAGTTGTTTTGATTTCTTTGCAAAGCAATCCTATGTTTAGGAGAAAAAAAATCAAAATGTATTGACTTACCAGGCTGTTTTCTTTCATTTCCTCTCAAAACATGTTCTTACAAATAGGCCTTCATTTAGAAGCAGTTACAGATAAGCAATGTTCCCAGCGTGTCTCCTCCCTCTTTCATGGGCTTTTGCTTTCCTGCAGTCCCAAAAAAGCCTCAAAGTGATGAGATGGGTTTGTCTCTGAACAGTTAAGTAGCACCCTTAAACACTGCTGGCCTTGACCCGCACTATCATCTACAAGTGCAAGCCTCATGCTGTGATGCCAAAGGATGTGACAAATGGAAAATTAGTGGAGACCATTAATACGTGTGGATATTACAGAGAAGTAGCACCGTAACAGTCATGCGCCTCTGTAAGGCCATATGGCTGCAGGAAATTGCAGAACTCAAACGCACTGCTTTTGGTGGAAAATGTGGATCCTTTAGAAAATTTCTCCTTGTTTTTTGACTCTCCTTTACTTGCATCTTTCTTATTTTAGGGAGATGTTTTATACTCATCTCCCTACTTTCTTACTGTTACATTAAGATTTTCTAGAAGAAAGGTCCTTGAATAGCCAAATAACTCCATAAAAATTTATAAAATAATCTCTGATTACAATTTTAAAATTTCATTTATGGCTTTCTCAAATCTTACACCATATGTAAGATGTCAATTTCTGGTGCAGTTTTTGAGCTTATGATTGCTTGGTATATTTGAATATACCATTATAGAGCCTTTTAAATATCATTTCATGGTTCAGTTAAATTATATGTAATTGTACTCAGTAAAGATATATTTTGTAATTATATAATTAATATATTATTATGAACTTTTATATATCTTATATATAACTGGATTTTAAGATTTGGTTTTGTTTTGTTTGCTAGTTAGAAGTTCAGTCCCCACCAGGTACAATAGCTGGGTATGTTGTCCAGAACTGGGAYCCCTTTCTACCTAAATTTACTATACAGAATGAAAGCAAAGAAGATGTACTAAAAATAATTGGCCCATATGCAACTTGTGGCTGTTTTGAAGATGTTGATTTTGAGGTATGTTTCTTCCAAGTGTGATAATTTTTAAAGTTTTACTGCTCTGAGTAAATGTCACATGATGTCACTGAAAATACTATGTAAACTTATACAATTATAATTTAGGAATGGAATGACAATAGTGTACATCAGTCCCTAGCTTTTAGACTCAGATTCCTACAGATATTTTCCAAATGGGAATGTAGATTACCTCCAAGAAGAAAACATAGCCATATATGAAGCCCTGGTCCTACTGCAGTCCATAAGCTGACTTTGATAGACTCCATTTTTTCACCTGTATGCAGCTGCCAGTATCTAATTCACAGTCCTTTGAAGACTGGCATTAAATTCGTTGCCTTCCTTGCTCTCAGGAGTGAGAACAAAAAATAATATTACTRTCCACCGTTTCTGCATACAGATCACAGCATTTGTCAGGGAAAAGTAAATCTGGGAAGCCATTGAGATATTTGGGAGACAAGAAGGAAAATGGAGAAGAAATGAGGAAATCATGGGCCAGATTTTCTGACATGAACAAAGTGTTTTGCCTAAGTTAATCACAAAAGAGCTTCTGTGTTGATCAACTCTTCCTTAAGCCTATGAAGACACTTTAATGGGTGCTGTCCCAGACTTCAGTATACCTTCGGAAACATGGAGATTGCTCCATCAGTCAGGAGGTACCAAGGGCCACAGAAATGATACCATAGTGACTTGAAGCATGTCAGAAGAACAATGAAAAAAAAATAGGAAAAGTAGCATAAACTTTCACAATGGCTCTTCCCTCCTTTTAAAGTCAATTCTAAAAGATCAGGACATGTCAAAATTTGTAGGAGAACCTTTCTTGTGTGACATTCTATTGATAGAAGCACCATTATAGAGCATTTAAGAAAAAAGGACTATCCTGAACACTATAGCATATTCTGCGTGTCAGGTTGAATGCTTAATTGTGGGGAGATACTAGAATTGCTGTATGCTTGATTCATTTACATTAGGCTTATTCCTTTTTTATTGCGGCAGGTAAAAGCTCTCAATGAAATGACAACAATCGGCAAAATTTCCAAGTACTGGTCTGGATTTGTGAACAATGTATTTACCAACACTGCCAACTTCGGGATCCAGGTTCCAGTAGACCTTGATGTGAGAATCAAGGCAGTAATGATTGGTGCTTGCTTCCTTATTGTAAGTGTGCAAAATCAAAAGTAAACCCTCACAGAACTGAGCACAGTGTGATCAAAGTCCTCCTGACAGTTGTGATCCTGCAGAGAAAGCCAAACCCACTATCTGAAAGATAAGTCTGATGARAAATGTCTAATTTTCATGGCTGCTATAATTTCTTTGTTTTGCACCTCTAAGTTCCTAATATTGTTGTTGTTCTGGTAGTTTAAATAGTATTTTACATGCAATTTATTACAGCAGATATACCAAAACCCCTGGCATTTTCCCTATTGTATTTGAATGGGCATATGAAGAAAACTCGAGAGTTATGCAGTCTCAATTGATAATTTAAAATAACTTAGTGCAAGTTTCAAATTCCAAGACTCAACTGTCTTTAAATTTACTGCCATATCTAGGATCAGAATTCYGTAGAAAAGGCAGAATACTTCAGAGCAGGGTTTAGGGTGGAGGTGGGATGCACAATTTCAAAAATTGTGAATTGATTTTTGTCTGCCATGTTTAAATTTGTTTTCTCRGTGTGTGTGTCTGTCATTTGCCATCATCTAGCATGTTTATGTACAATGGTACCAAAATCATATGGACTACTTAAATCAGGATATCTAGAAGAAGAGAACAAAACTATTTAGRTTATACAGTGGGAGTTTTTTGCTTTAAGACATCACCAATATAGATACTTTARCTTATTACATTAGAAATGTAATTCTCTTGACACCTGAAATTTTCAGATTACCTCCTGCAAACCTGTTATTGCTCAGTGGCTGAGGAATAGAAAATGACTGAGTAATTACTTTTGTAACAAAACGCTTACAAGCACTGCTTTTGATAATAATTGTTGCATTTTTTCACATCTTCCTTACCATTCAGTTTGTTTATTTGTAGGACTTAATGTTCTTTGAAAATTCTTTGGATGGATTATAACAAGATGAGAGAAACAATAAAATATGCAGAATGTGTTTCAGTAAGTAAAAAAGAACATAAATTGATCTTCTTGCTTTGAAGACTTATACATTAGATACTTTCTAATTCTTTTTCATTTTCTTTCAGAAGTCCCCTGAGCTTTGGATGTGATTTTGAACTCCGCAGATCCATGCTGTCTGTTGGAAAAGAAAAGGAACTACTGATGATGCTTATTAAAATGTCTCGTGTAAATAACAATATCCCACTTATGTACATTGTAGCTGAACATACACTTTTCATACAGAGCACTGTTGCTTTGGAGCAGTGTTGTTCTCTTCTTCCTCTTTTGATGTTTCTGCATGGGAAATCATGAAAGATTAGACTGAGGCTTGCAGCATCTCTGAAAGTCTATGTTTAGAGAACCCTTTGATGTTCTGCAAGTGCTGGTACCAGTTATTAACCACGTTGAGGGTGTGTTCTGGGAGTTTTGCTTTGGCATTTTTATAATTCTAGAAGTCATTTTCTGATTTGTTAATTAATAGTAACAAACTGAGTTTGATAGTAACAAATATAAAGATATCACCCAATGGGAAGTTAAATACGGTATCTATTTAGGGAGTTGTAAGAAGGGAAGAGAGATTTGCTAGTAAGTTAATTTTACGGTAAAGGCTTATTCAATGAGAGACCCTTAAAAATAAGGCTTGCAGTGCTAGACTTGAACTAAGCTGTATTCAAAAAATGTGGGCTCCCACTGCTTATGTTGAAGGCAGGCGAACAGGTCTATGTGCAGGTAGCACAGAAATCACCAGTGCAGTGTGCTGTGCTGGGAATGCTTCGTCCCACCCCCTGGGAAAGGCCCCTAAAAGCTTTCTTTTTATCTTCATAATATCTGGAGATTATTAGCTTTTCTTTCAGCCTTGCCTGAGGCCAACCTGGAGCAAACTCCTTTTAGACACAGAATCATTCTCTTCTCTTGGCAAACTTGTTTTCTTTTTTTTCCATGAGGGGGCTGTGAAGCTGTAGATTTTGTACCTCAGACAGCATAACCGAAATATAGAGCTGTGCCTRTAGGTCGGAGCTATGCAGGTACTGCCAAGAGCACTCACAGATAACCACTGGCTTAGCTGTTTCAGACAGCTCTTCACGCCAGCACTCACACCTTGTAATATTTAACTGTTCCCAAATTTCCATGCCAACATGCTGTACTTACACAAGTAATTTTAGGGAACGGCTTTGCTTTTCAGAAGCATTCATGATGTGTAAGACATTTACAGAAAAAAATGTTGCAAAATATTTACTGTATGAACTTGCTTATGCCTTATATTCTTTAAAAAAAAAATCTGTAGAGTCCTTCAGGAAGAAAAACAGTAGCATAAAATATTGATGATAGACGAAAAATAACACATTTGGCACACAGATTCCTAAGGGAGCGTTTTGCAGTTCACCCGGATTGCTGAATTTTATTTTAGCATTAACTAGTAATTGAATTCTTGTAAATAACTTACACATCAACGGAAAGGAAAGGAGATGATGAATAATTCATAAAAATGAAAAAGAGCTAAATTTATCAGGTGATTAATTCTCAACAAATATTTAGACTAATTCTAAATTAATGTTCATGGATATGAATTCAAACACAGTGAAGCCAGGAAGTTACAACTTATATTCCTATAGTGAAATTAACTCAGGAATGTTTATAGGTTTAAAAATGTATGTTTTAGATTTGACACCACACTTGTGTATTTATATAGATTTACATATATGACTCAAAAATGATTATGGCTAATAAGCTCTGACAATCATCATTATCTGTTAACCACTTCACTACTAGCTCTGGCTGTAATTTTTAGCTGCACAATCAGACTGGAATCTGCAGAAGTTGTGAACTCAGCAGGGAATCACTGTTGGCAGCTTTCTTGGGAGAAAGTACCCTGTGCGTTCCCTGAGCTTCATRGGCAAGAAGCTCCCTCCTGTGGAAATTTACAGTTTTGCAGAATACACGTGACAGCAGATCGGACTTGCTATTTTCAAGTAGTTTCACTCTAAAATCAGGACTCTCAATCCTGATTTACTTTAGCAGAGATTAAGCAAAAGAGCCAGACCTCCTGTTTTGATTTATCCCTCAGAACCCATGCTAGGCAGGAGCTACTCTCACTGTAGCAATCATCTCTCATACTTTTAGCAGTAAAAGCATGTTCTTCAGGTACTGTTGAGCTGCGTGTCTCTGAGTGCCTGAGGGCTGAGTGCAGGGCCCAAGGGAAGTGGCAGGCTGCTGTGCCCATGTGCCATGCATCCTATATAAAATCCATGATTCGTGTGGCCATTAGCAAGCTAGCAGCATCTTTGAAGCACGTGAGTCCACCTCCATTTAAACCAATGCAAACCAGGGTCTCATTTTCCAGCAGGGCTGAGTTCAGCCCCAAGTGCCCATATATGCTGTGTAGGTGAGCAATCTATATTTATATATGTTTTCTATATGTTGTAACCACATGATAGTTCTGTATTTCTTGCACTTAACTTTGCTATGTTTTGTTTTAGCGTAACTTAAAAAAGAAAAAACAAGTACTACATTTTCCTGTTTGTGTATGTTTGAATCTACCCCATCTACCTATCCCCTACCTAGCAAAAACCTGAGGATCTTTTTGCTCTCTGCACCCAGTGTGACAGCTTTGGGGACATGCAGGACCTGGTTTAGACCCTGCACAAAACAAAGCAGTAGCTCAGCTGCAGCTTTTGCTGGCCAAGACTTCCTCAGCCACCTGCTTCACTTTGGTCATATCCTTTAGTATCTTGCTGGTGCTACTGCCAGCATCTTTGCACGGGAAGCTCCTGTGTCTAAACCACAGCAGCTGAGCAAGGGCAACTGTCCATCTTACTAAGAGAAGAAGTTCTCAGGCACTGTTACTAACAAAAGCATAACAAATAAAAGCTGAAAGATAACTGGTAACTATTTCTTAATAACTATGTATTTCATATTCTAAGTGCTCTATATTCACTTTAGAAAACCCATGYTTCATTATTTCTCTACTAGTTAGGAATGGTTCCTCAAAGGAGAATTCAGGAGTCCCCCAGAGGGGAACAGATACTCTCTAAAGCAGGATTATGTACTTATAAAACTGTAATATTTGAGAGGAAAACAGAAACTCTCCTGAACATCTTCCAGAGAGAAATATTTGCTCTATTGAGAGAAATTTTACAATTTGAGCAAAACAAATAATTTCACACTTCATCACTAGCCAGACTATAGAACTATGTAGTACGTGATTTCTGTGTTCAGTAGATGGCAGCAACAGTTTATTATTGCAGCACTTACAGCTTGTAACCTGGAATATTCTCAGGATGGCAATGAAGGATCAACCCACCTCTGGTCAATATCTACTCTTAACAGGAAGATTTTTTTGGCTACTGTTTTTTTTTTTTTTTTTTTGCCTTATTGTTTTGAGGATCTTTTTACTATCCTCAAGCCTATTTTCTATTCCTGTTTTGTTTTCTGCTCTGCTGTCTGCAAAGGCAGGAAAGGTCTAGTTCTCATTTTCAGGAGGCTACAAATGGGCAGTGAAGGAGAGAGCTCCCAGCCCTGGCTCTGCTCCACCTGCAGAAACGAAATGCTGTGTCCAAGGTCCGTGCAGGGGGAAGATGCAACTAAAGGAAATGGCTTTGTGGTGTTTGCTCAAGAAATGTGGAAGGTTTCTGTGAGGGTAAAATAACTTGGCCTTGAAGTCCTATCACCCTGCTTGCATCAGCTTGCTGTGCTGGGGGCAGAGGGAAGAAACTGGGTAGCAACAAAAGCCCGGGTGACACCAGTACCRWGGAGGCAGCTGGCTGCAACTTTTCCCATGGGAAGACCAATCAATTTCTGTAARAGAATGGCAACATAAAAATCTGTGAGTTATTTTGGTTATCCAGTAATCTCAGGGAGGATAAATAGGATCTTTTTTGTGCACATTGAGGGAGAGTGGGGGCGCTGGGGGGAAGCTTCTCTTAAACTAATTAGGTGGTGGTGGTGTTTGTTTTTTAGAATTAGACAAAGGCATAAATGACCCTCCTGGTTGCACCCATGATATGTTCTGTGCCACATGTTTAATTAAAAGATCACCCTTAGGTTTTTAAATCTATATTTTTCCTTCGTTAAAAATGGCTCCTGTGAGGATTTTGGGGAGTAGCAGGGAGACTTGAATTCCTTAGGAATAATTAACCCAAGTACACATGAAAGGATTTTTTTTTAATATTCTTAAATGCTTTTCTAAACACACTCCCTCAGGAAGAACTTCCTTAAATGCCGAACGGTTACTGGAGCACTCTTAGCAATTGCCATGAGACAGTGGTTTGTTCATGGTCTGTCTGCTTTTGTGACTTCAGCTTCTCAGAAATTAAGCTAACAGAATGATTTGTTAAAGAGACTGTGGGGTGGGGACAGCCCAGGGCAGATAAAATTTCCTGTTTCCCTTGCCTATGTGTTTCAGGTGCTGTGCTTACAAAGGCACGCTAACCAGGCTCACAAAATGAAGGTCAGATAGACACATCCTGTGCTTATCTGTCYTGGTCTTGAAATACTTTATTACATGGCACAGATGGGTTTTATCCCCTCCATTTAATGTTACCATTCATGAGTAATAGACAAGAGAGGCAACCTTTCATAGGCCCTGGCTACAAATTCAGTTCTCTACATACTTTAATTTCTTCAGTCTCTGAAGCATATTAAGAGTTAAAATCTGCACGTGATTGACTAAATCTACTTTGGAAGACACACATATTATTTGTTAAAGGGCTTAAACACTAAGTGAGCACATGTTCTTGTATCCCAGGAACCCAGCCCCTCCCATGTTCAATCCTCAGATAACCGTGCAATAAAAGTGAGGTCAACAAGAATTCCTCATGTTAGTATAAAATTGGAAGTGGGAGGAAAGTCCTTACTTAACTGTCCACRTTGACCTTGGACATTGTTTGTCCAAGGAAGAATGGCATATTACTAAAGTGGAAAAGATATGCTTTGTGTGTAACAACATAATAGTTTATGAAAAATAGAGGAGAGAAATAAGTGTTGGAGACCTTTTCCTATCTTGGAAAASCTGCTGACCCTAAGCAGCGGGCCAGGATTAAGGAATAGTGTTTTGTTTTGTATTCCTGTTGGCTACAGGCAAAGTATTCTTTGATGAGCAAACTTGGAAAAAAGTGTACACTACAATTTTCCCACATTTCTATAGGCTAGTCATAGTTTAATAGTGTAATAGTCTTTTTATTCTGGCAATGGCAAGGAGGAGCAGGGGAATTGGGGAAAAAAATCTTCTCGCAAATTATTATAACAAGAGTTGGATCCGTCTGTATTTCGGTTCAGGCAAACCACGTTAGGTAAGGACTGTATTACATTAAAATTATTTTGCAGTTAAAACCAACAATGATGACARTGGGAAACTATTGGTAGATTCCATCATTCTACCTAAGAATACTTGTTGATGGATTGGTAGCAGAAGGATGGGGGGTCTAAGGGCCGTGCTGGTGGCTGTGTCACCTTCCTAGACACGTGCTAGGCCCATGATGAAGTGCAGGCTAGGACCAAAACGGGTGTTGATACTAGAGAGGACACATGAATTTCAAATTAATGTTTTGCAGATCCCATGAGCAGGAGCAAGGCTTTTATTTTTGTAAAATGAAGAACCTTCATTGCCAAAATGTGCGCTTATATCTGAAAAAGAGTTTATATTTTCATTTACCTTTAGTTTATATTTGCTGTGTGTTAACTGTATATAATAGCAGTAAAAATGATTTTTGAACTTTTTTTGTAACTTCTGCTTATAGTTTCATATAACTGTGGGTTAAAGCTCAGAACACCTGGGAACTTGGTAAGAGCTGCAAATGATGCTTTTTCTATTTTTTCAGTCATTGCCTAACACCAATGCAGTAATAACATACCTGGCACTGTAATTTTCTCTCAAACATAAGCCTAGCATTAGCCAATTCCTTACTTCTTGTGATTCAGGGGACTTTTAAAATGTCAAATTCTCAAACACTTCCACTTAAAATAATTGAGACTACCATGATGATGGTGAGATCACTTCAGTGTCCTGAAGATATAACAGCTCTAATAAAGAGC